TCATAATCTCAATAGCATGGGTCGAATTACCCATCCCTCACCTATTCATGAGCCATCTCTCCATGAGATTGTGAAAGATATTTCACTAAAAATATTCTTACTCTTTTCTCCGAATTATATATCCTCAAACAAAAAGGATCTTGCACGATTAAAAATAGTGAAAGATTTATATTTACTATGTCATGTCAAAAAAAATCCAAATGACTCATTGAACAAAGTGAAGTACATTGTAACACAACGAAACATAGAGAAGTGTAGTGAGAGTGTTTATATTTAATGACTATTTATGGTATGATGATTCTCTGTTGTTAATTAAAATAAACATTGTTTCACACAAAAACGACGTTATTTTGTTAAATAGAATGATATTGTTTTGGTGCAAAACACGTTGTTTTAATCAATAATGGAGAAGTCTCGAGACTCTGTTATGTCCGTTTGCATATTATTGTTATTATTATTAGTATGCACAAGTTGGACTACATTTAGATTGCACCAATAATTATTCTAACTGTTCATGCACGTCCATCTCTGTTCATTTGAAACGTGTTTCTTTATTTCCAAAGCGTTATTGACTATTGACAAAGTGTTATTGTGATGAATATGCTTTCACAGATTATTATTATTATATATATATATATATATATATATATATATATATATATATATATATAGATAGATAGATAGATAGATATGGTGTATATAACGATTCAATTTCCGAAGGTCGTGAATCAACACAAGCGAAAGTAGCACATGTGACTGAAACAAACTAGAAAAAAATGTAAAAAAAATGTTCTTGTTTGGAGAAATTAGAAGGAGATATACCAAATTAGACTTAATTGTAAAAAAATACACAAAAAAAAATCGAATAATTAAGTCCTTAATTTTGATATTTATTTGTATCTAAGTACATTATTTGAATTTTATTAATTTTTTTGTGACATTTTTGCCCTCCATTAATTCATGTGTTTTTTTTTATAAAATGGTGAATCTCTATTTTTAATTTGTTACCACGTGCATAAATTACTGAACACTGTTTTTGTTACAGTAAATTTGTTACATTGTCTTTGTTACATTGTTATTGTTATACTATTTGAATACTAAATAAATTAATTTGAAAATAAAATCATTTTCTAAAAAAAAAATGCATGAATCAAAGTACATTAAATATAATTTGAAAATAAAATCACTTTCAAAAAAAAAAATACGCATATATGAAGGTACATTAAAGATAATTTAAAATTTAGATAAGAATATATATATATATATATATATATATATATATATATATATATATATATATATATATATATATAAGTGATTTAACAACAAGTATATATAAATATGTATTAACAAACACACATGAATTAATGTTCATTAAAGATAAGAAATTTTTAATTAAATGACCTTAAAATAGACATTTATATCTTTGTAACTCAACTGTATACTTTTTTTCTAAAATATGTTATTTTCTGTATTTTTTGTCAAATAAGTTTAATTAGGTATGCCGACATTCAAAAAACACTTCTTTTTTTGGGTTATAAATTGTAGAGGTTTGTACCGACTACTTTTTTAAACTTAGATATTGATCGCCGTAGTCTAAACCAGTCTAGAACATGTCCCCAGAAGAATAAGATTAACTGACCCTTAGAGGATATGCAGTGTTAAACTTAAAAATCTCTAAATTACCAGAAGACCAAGGCCAAACTTAACCATTGAAATACCGCTAAGGATTATAGGTCATGTGTTATCAATTCCATTCTAAAGTTTATATTCATGACAAACATAACAAGGCAAAAAACAAAATAAATCAGATATGGTGCAGCATTTATGTTAAATTACAACCTCATCTCTACTTTAAGAACCATTTTAATTCCTCATAATTATGTTGCATATATTTTTTTTCTTGCCTTTTTGGATAAGAGTAATAATATGTATCTAAAATTTGTAATTCAAATTTGTATCTAAAATCAAGAAGGACCATTGGATCAGTGGGTTCCATTTAAAAAAATTGATGGGACCCACTGATTCAATGGTTCTCTTTGATTTGAGATACAAATTTGAATTACAAATTTAAAATACATAACACTATTTTTTCAATAAAGTATAAATTAATGATGCGAGACGATATCAGAAGTATGATTAGATAACCATTTTACTTGTCATTATTTAGACTCACAATTACGATCTAAATTCATAATAGGCGTACTCACTCATAATTCACATGTACCGACTCATTCAAATTTTATTTTACAAGACTTGATTTTTAAATATTAAAATACGTAAACTTGAAAAGTATGCCATTATTTATAGATCACGTAGAACGATCGATCAATAACTATTTTCACAAGTCTCAAATTCACAATCTTGAAATAATAATTATTAATAAACCAGAAAAATTAAAAAAAAAATCAGTTTTGTTTGTGATAGAATAAAATTGGATTTTTACATAATAGTAAGGGTGCAACTCGGGCGGGTTGAACAATCAACCCTAGTCCAACTCTACTTATATAATCTTCAACTCTAATCCTAACTTTATCTCGAGTTGGGAAACTCAACCCGAGCACTGTCCGAGTTTAATTCGGGCGGACTCGGATTGAATTTGGGTTGATAATTCAGGTTGATTTTAAGTTATTTTACGGGTTCAATTCAGGTAGAGTCCAAAATAAACTTGTTGTTTTAAACTCAATATATATATTACATAATATTCACCAAAATTAACAACCAATAACTTCAACCAAATTTTTAATGAGAGAGGCTGAGAGAACGAGAAAGACAGAGAACGATAGAACAAAAATGAAAAATCAGTGTTAATATTTTATATATATAATTTTTTTTTTAATTTTTTGGGTTCAGGTTGAATTCGGGTTCACGAGACCTTATCCCTGATCTCAACCCAAATTGAATTCGAATTAAAATTTTTTGACCCAGGTTCAATTAAAATATTAAAAATTTTTATTCAAATCCTATTTTTTTCGGATTAAAATCAAATTATCCAACCCAAATTACACCGCGGGAATGAGAAGTAAAAGAAACGTCCGTGAACCCAAACAGACAGAAAAAAACATAACAACAACGTTAGAATGTAGATGGCATTAAAAAATTTTTGTACTATGTAATTGTAAAGAAGAAGGGAAATCACAACAAAGATCCATGGAGAAGTCAGACGCAAGAGTTAATGAGCATACCAAATAAAGTACACGAGTGGTCAAAATGCCCCCCATGAAAAGTACTATCCAACCCAGTGTAATTATTATACCCCTGGGTTTTTTTTTCTTCTTCTTCTTAGAATGGAAAAGTTGCCGTCCTAAGTCCTTGTTACATAAGCATGGACATTAAAGTTTCATTTATTTTGAACATTGAGCCTTAATGTTTTGTTTGGTACAATAAAAAAATAAGAAGATAAAAAATTAGAGGAATAAATATAATATTATATTTTATAAGAAAGAAAAATAGGAAGAATAAAAAAGTAGATGAATTAACTTTTTTTCCAACTTATCAAAATTAATCTCTCTAAAATCGAAAGAAAAATAGATGTAAAATTAATTATTTGTTTTGAGATGTATCTTATTTGTTTATATATCTTATGTATACATTAATTTCATATAAAAATACAATGGTAAAATATATATATATATTTTAAAAAAAAATTAATTTTTTTTTTAAAATAAAAAATTAAAAAATTAAAATTTTAAATTAAATTTTTTTTTTATTTTAATTGAGGGTGAAAATTTTCTACTTAACACGATAACACGACTCGAACTCGATACGAGAGTAAATAGGTCAACTTGCAACTCAACACGATATAATTAGTTAAATGAGTTAAGTTAAGTTTGACTAATATTCGACACAAACTCGTAATAACTCAACACAAATCTGACACGACACGACTCGACTCTATTATTACCCCTAAACTTAGTTAGAACAAAAAAAAAATTATTTTTATTTTCTATCCATCCAACCAAGCACAAAAGAAAGAAAGTGTATTCTTCATACTTTCCATCCTATAGAAAGTGTATTCTTCCTACTTTTCATCCTTCCTACTTTCCATCCTCCCTACCAAACAGAGCATAAGTATAAATCCCATACAATAAATATAAAAACTCAACTCAAAATATTAAATAAAAAAATCTAAAATTTTAACCATCGGATCAATTGCTTATACATTAGATTTTTTTTAAATTCAATGATAAGGGGTATTTAGGCCAATTTGTACACAATTTAACTAATTTTCACTATGATTCAATTAAAAACAAATTACCAATAATGAAAATTATACAACTATTGACTTTGTGCATTTCCCATATTGTAGTATTGTACCATCAAACTGTTGACTCAATTATATCATAAAACAATTAAATTAATTTCTATTCATAACAAGTAATTCTCATATTGTCCCATGTATAGCCTATATTCCTGCAAAAATTATTATTATTTGTAAGAAATTTATTTAAATTTAAATTACTACCATCTTTATTATACTTATATTTTATAGAAGATTATTTTTTATTTATTCAAATAATTTATTAATGGGTCTTTATACTACATGATGAGTAATATATTATTAATTAAAAAATATAATATAGAGGATGCAGGTGCTCAAAACCTGTCAATTCAATTCATTTCACAATGGTTCAATTTTCATCCACAAAGGGCATATTTGTCATTTCACATAATACTAAGTAGTACCTATGTTTTTTTGGGTAAACTTGGTTTAAAAAGACTGTAGCGTATATGGTAACCGGTTTGTTCTTATTCACATACTCAGACACCGGGAGAGACTTCAGACCAGAGGGAGAGGAGAGAGAGAGAGAGAGAGAGAGAGAGAGTGTTGAAACAAAACTGTACTACCATGACTTGGGAAGGTAAGTGATGGAATATAACGAGAGCCGGTGAACCACCTTCCAATTTGTACACAGCTTCGGACGAATTTCTATCCTTTTTCCCTCACCGGAAAACCTCTTTTTTGTCCTTTAAAACCAGGTTTTCCGGCGACAACAACCATGGGAGACAGTGGTATTGTACGGTTTCCGGGAATCTTAGACCCTAGGGCACAAGAATACACACCTAGAAACCCATATTTACCCTTAGTTCAACCCCAAATTTTCTATCCATACCTTCCTTATCCTCCACCACCATCCACTTATCCATCATCATCTAGTGAATTCCAAGTCATGCCCTTCTGTGAAAGCGGTGGTGTAGGATATACCCAGTTCACAGCGCCACCAGGTTACGTTAGCGCAGACCCTCCGTTGCCTCCGCTTCTGCCACCGCCGTGTGTGACGCCGTCAAGAACTCTTCTATTGAGTTCTGTACCCACCAACGTGTCTGAATCGACGGTGAGGAGAGAATTGGAGGTGTTTGGCGACGTCAGGGCGGTGCAGATGCAGAGAGTTCGTGATGGAGTCGTGACCGTTCATTTCTATGACCTGAGACATGCGCAAGAGGCGATGGTGGAGATTCAGGAACAACACATGCAACAACAGTGCAGGTTGAGAATGCACTACGATACAGTTATGGCTCTGAATTTAGTGTATGAGTCCAATCCTTTGGTTCCTCCGTTGCCCCCTCCGGCGCCGGGACTTATCGCCGGCCGTGCTGTGTGGGCCCAGTTTGCAGTTCCGGTTACGGCCGGTGTTCCAAATGGGAACAACCAAGGGACGCTCGTGATTTTCAATTTGGACTCGGAGGTCACCGCCAGTAGTCTAAGAGACATATTTGAAGCTTTTGGTACGAACTTTATACGCCCCAAAATATATATTCATGCCTTTTTCCCTTTGAATTATCAGTGAATTACATCAGATCTGAAGATTTTTGAAGAAAAGTTGTAGAGAGATTGTGTTTCTCTCTCGTGAATTTGGGTTGTTTCCTGATATGCAATATGTGGGTATTTGTCGGACATATTTGTTGTGGGGACAACTTTTTTCATCAGGCGTTTTGTACAATCCGATGGGCCTCTTTCCTAACTATATGTATGTAATGTTGTTCTATTCTCTTTTGGCTTTATGTTGGAATTATTGATGTTTTTCTTGATGTAGGGCCTGTGAAGGAATTGAGAGAGACCCCATTGAAGAAATTCCAAAGGTTTGTGGAGTTCTACGATATAAGGGACGCAGCTAAGGCTCTATCAGCGATGAACGGCAAAGAAATTCACGGCAAGAGTATTGTACTCGAATTCAGTCGTCCTGGTGGCCACAGCAAGAGGTTCTCAAAAGTCGCACAAAATTGTGGTCGAATTTTTCCGTCTCCGCCGTCGACACCACCACCTCCACTTTTCTTGCATCGTAAGACATCCTGTCGGTCGCTGGCCAATGTGCCGCCGCGTTGTTGCACCTCTCAAACGCAATCTTCCGGGAAGAAACCAAGTTTTAGGAAGGAAAACCCTAATGGGTATGGTGTCAACAAGGGCAATGTTGGTGGGGCAGTTCAAGCTTCCATGTCTTCTTTGTGTATAACTGAAAGAATTGGAAATGGGTCTGAAGAGACTGTTAACGATAGGCCTCCTCCAAAGAAGAATTCAAAGAAGGGTCTTATTTCAACTAGTGCTAGTTCTAAGCAGCAATCACAGCAGGGTAAGAGTAGTAGGCTATGGAAGGGCTCAAATCGAGCCAAGGATTTTGATCCCCGTTTTTTGATAAACGAAGATGCCATTATAGAATCGAATTTCAGAGATTCAAGAACGACTGTCATGATCAAAAATATACCCAATAAGTACAGGTTTGTGTGTGTTCATTTTGGCTTGTTTTTTTTGTCTAAAATCTTATGATTTTATTCTCTGCCGGTTTATTTTATATATATATATATATACTCTGCATATCAGATACCCATTTTTATACATTATGCTCTTCTCTTTTTGGGTTTATATATGTTTTCACTGGAATTATTATTTTTGAAGAGAAAATTGGCTGGGGAGTTGTGAATTGACTTTGTTTTTTGGGGGTGGTGCTGGTGCAGTCAGAAGCTATTGCTGAACATGCTGGACAACCACTGCATTCACTGCAACGAGCAGATTGGCCACGGCGATGACCAGCCCTTGTCCTCCTACGATTTCGCATATCTCCCCATTGATTTCAAGTGATTTTCTCCCTTTTATCTTTGTTTCCCCTTGTTTTACAATTGATTTATGGTTGCCAGTTATAATATGAATACAGTGATTAATCAGTGGAATGAATGAATGATCTATAAATACCAATAGTTTACTTTTACCCTCCTTTCTCGTTATATTGTTTTTTTTTTTATCAATTTATTATCCAATTACAAATGTATTATGAAAACTTGTGATTAAAGATGATATGACTAGAGTTGCAAAACTGCATTAAGAATTTAAAAATTCTTGTTCAAAAGCTCAATTTTAATACAATTTTCTTAATTGGAGACAGCAACAAGTGCAATGTGGGATATGGGTTTGTGAACATGACCTCCCCACAGGCAACTTGGAGACTCTACAAGGCCTTTCACCTTCAAAGTTGGGAGGTCTTCAACTCTAGAAAGATCTGTGAAGTCACCTATGCCAGATTACAGGTTTCTCTCTCTATTGTGCATATATATAAAGCATCTAGGAAGTTACATAAATTTACAAACATTTTCATCTCTATCAATGGTACTGTTCTTTATCTTTTCTGGGTCTACATTAATGTTTCTTGGTGTAATGTTTTTGTTACATTTTATGTGGAATAATAAAAAATAGGGGTTGGAAGCATTGAAAGAGCACTTCAAGAACTCGAAGTTCCCGTGCAACACTGAGGAGTACATGCCAGTGGTCTTCTCACCACCTCGAGATGGGGGGCGATTGACTAACCCCGTTCCCATATTTGGCCGCCATATTTACTCTCCACCTCTTCCTCTATCCCCTTCCGCCGTCAGTTCTTGGAACGACGAAGAGATCAACGGTGGTGATAGCCCCGAACACGCAGTTGACGAAACTGGTCACACAACTGTCAGTCATAATGATGATGACTGTGATGGTATTGACGATGACGACTTGAGTGGCGGCGGAAGCAACCCAAACGGCGGCGAAAATGATGGTGGTGATCATGATTTGTAATTTGATGATGGAAGAAGAAAAAAAAAGTAAGACATGGTTGTTGGTGTCAACTCTGATGAGATTTGAGAAGATTTGTTCATTTACTTCCCTACTACAAAAGCTTTTATGGTGATTAGTAATGTCTCATTGGTCATGGGTGATGGCTACTACCTGGATCTACCACTGGTAAAGACAGGTTGAAGCACTCAATAAGTGATTATTGTTGAGCTCCGAGCCTCCCCAATTCGAAGCGGCCAGTCACCCTCCATAGCCCAAGGCTTTTCTCTATCATTTTCTGGTTAGCTTAGCTTTAGCCCTGTACCCTCTCTTCCCCCCCCTCTCTCTCTCTCTCTCTCTCTCTCTCTCTCTCTCTCTCTCTTATTATTATGGTTTATTTGCTGTAAGTTTGGTGCACAGAAGAAAGATTTGAGAGTGTTTACAAACATAAGCATGAAATTTTATTTGGTTTTTGCGAGGATGTGAATGACTTGTTTTCATGACTTGTTTTTATATGATTAGTTTAAGTGCAGCATCGGGAAACATTGAAGCATGTTATATTCCAATCTCAGTTCGAGTTCTTTCTGTTCCCCCACTTAGTGCACTCACTTGGAACTTTCAAGACTCCTAAGAGAGAGAGAGAGAGAGAGAGAGAGAGATGCGCACATTAGTAACCCCGTTCCTGCATTTTGTCTAACATCCGCCACCACTCACATATAACTTAAAAAGAAAAATTATGTTGGGATGAAATATTGTTTTTTACTAAATAATTAATTAGTTGTGTATGAACGGTTTGTCCTTCCTTTCCAACTGTTTTGCATTTTTTTTTTGGAATTTTCTGTTCAGCCATCCTCTCCAACCATTCACGTAAAAATGCTGTGAAGCTCCTCCTAGGGTCTTATCCTCTCTCTCTCCTGATTTGATTTTGGTAAAGGTGGTAGAGGGTATTTCCTGCAGTCATATTCTTCTTTCCCTATTATAATGTTATTTTATTTTGATTTAATTTACCCATATAATAATCATATGTACAAATAGAATTACATTACATTGACTGGAAATATTGACCAATTGTTTTCCATTTTTTTGCCTTCATATTCTCTTCTCTCATTCACGAGTGTAGTCCCGTCGGCGTCGATATCCTAAAGTAGTATCTAAAGGCTATGCTTAATGTAGGGTACTTTACTGGAAATTTTACAGAGATAAAGGAGAAAGAAAAGGAAAGATGCATAGGCCTTTTAACACTCTTAGTGGTTAAAGAAACAATGCCCGCTGGCTCAACCATTGTTTTCATGTATACTTCTGAGTCTTTGGGAGGATGCTCGGTTACCCACGTGACTCTATATCACCACAATTATATATAGGGAAAAATTTTATTCACCACTCTTGTATTTAGTTCTAAATTTAGTCACACTTCTTTTTTATTTTGAAATTTAACTGCCATTACTTGGACAGTGTTTGTCGCATTATGACGTCAACTGAAATTGTTAATTTACAAAAAGACTCTTGAATATTTTTATAGGGTAAATTTTAGTCATATTTCTTGTAAATATACATAATTTCAATGAGATCTTTGTAAGTAGACATAATTTTAACAATACCTCCTCTTGGTTTTGGAATTTTAATTTATTTTTATTATATTAACTTTTAATTTTATTAATTTAATATTTAATTTATTAAATTAATATCCTTTATTTAATGTAAAATTAATTAGGATTTTATTTTCATCAAATTAACATAAATTGATATTTAATTTTATTAATTTAACATTTAATTTATTAAATTAATGTCAGTTATTTAATTTAATACCTAAGAATATTTAATTTTATTAAAATAATATTTAAATTTATTGATATATATATATATATATATATATATATATATATATATATATATATATAAAATAAGAAAAGGGTAGAAAGCATGTTAATATATTTACACGAGGAAGAATAGTTTTAACATTATTAAAAAATTTATAGTCAATTTGTTTTTTTTTGTACTGAGAGAGTTAAAAGTTATTGTTTTGTCAATGAAATGTTTTTTATTTAAAAGTATAAACAAGAATGAGATGTAATAAAATTTTAGAATCGAAAGAGAGTATCATTAAATTTAAATTTTAACTAAAAGAGATATGAATGAAACTTTTTCATATATATATATTTATAGAGAGAGAACATTTTGTTAGGAGTTGTGAAAACATTCGGAGCTTCTTCTAATATAGTACTAATTTATATGTAAATTCATTTCAAGTCTGGAATAAAAAAAATATGTTAAGAGGTTTTGACGTTGCACAGTACAGCCGTGGTTCCGAGAGGAAGAGCCTCCCTCTCTCTCTCTCTCTCTCTCTCTCTCTAGATCTGACTTTTTTTTCTCTCTCATCCACGGTATCGTATTGGATTGGATGCTCTGTGAAAGGGGTGATGAAGCTCGCTCCATGAAGCTCCAGGCAGTCCCACTTTGGTTGACAGGTCAAAACCAACAGTTCTCTGCACTACAAAACACTGGAGTCCACTCACACACACACACACACACTTTATTATGGGCATGAGATGAGACGGAGACGGAGACTGAGAACCCATTTAATGGCCCCTTCCATCTCCCTTGTCCTATCTCTCTCTCTCTCTGCATGTCCTTTTTCTGTCAGCCGTCTCTTTTGCTGTTTTTATTCATGTAATCTATCTGGAGATTTTATGGGGTTTTGACACGTGGACCACCTGGTATATGCCACCTGGACAGGAATCAAGGCGCTGTGTGGTTCGGCTATGCTGATCTTTACTCAACTCTCTACCTCGTATACATATGTATGTAGCCTGGTTTCAATGCTGTCACTAGCTAAATAGTTTGTGGACTATGTTTTACTATACGAATAGAAAAAATAATAATAATTTAACACCAGCCTTTTGTGATTTTTTTATTTTTTTATAATATGGGAATGTGTATGATCTTAATTTTGTGTGTCAAGAGGTAATTTTTAGGTTGTCTCGATTGTACCTCAATTCCTACTACATTTCGGATTTATATTTCTTCAGATAAAATTATGATCTATGGCCCAAACGTAAGAGAAATTGAGATTAATATCCAAAAACACTAATTCAAACAGATATAGGACAATTAAATAGTACCTTAACTTACCCCTCAGAAAAAAAAAAAAGAAAAGAAAACTATATAGAAATTGTAGTGCATGATTAAGTAATATTTTTACACAAAATCTGTATTTGATTAGACTAGAAAAAAGATTAATCAAAGTCTGCGTAAAGTTGACCTAGAGGCCATATTGTTAAAAACAAACAAGTTTTCATACGATTTCCGAGAATAGTCTGGAGGGTTTGGGTCATTCAAGGCTTTACACATTTTAGGGTTCATCCGACCATGAATGCCCCACTGTAGGAGTTTTATGGAGGAGAGTGAAAGGTTTCACAAACTTATTAGGGTTGTGCCGTGCTGTTATAGGCCGTAGAAGGAGTGCGATTAATGTTACGTTTGATATGATATAAAAGTGGGAGGATGAAAAGTTGGAGAGATAAATAAAATATCATATTTGATAAAAAAAAAAGTATGAAGGATGAAACAATGGATGTATTAATTTTTTTTTCAACTCACCAAAATCAATCCCTCTAAAATCGGAAGAAAAGTGGATGAAAAGTTAATTATTTGTGTTAAGATGTATCTTAATTATATATATATATATATATATATATATATATATATTAATTTCATATAAAAATACAATAGTAAAATATGTGTATATATATATATTAAAAAATTTTAAAATTAAAAAAAAAAAATTTCATCTTAACTAAGGGTGAAAATTTTCGACTCAATACGATGACACGACTCGAATAAAATACAAAGATAAACAAGTCAATTCGTATTTCAACACGACACAATTAGTTAAATGAGTTAAGTTAGGATTGATTAATATTTAACACAAATCTATAATACGAATTTGACACGACACAAACCGATTGTCACCCTTAATTTTAGCCGGGAAAAAAAAAATTATTTTTATTTTTCATCTATCCAACCAAACATTTTTATTTTTCATCTATCCAACCAAACATAAAAGAAGAAAAGTGTATTATTTTTCATCTTTAAAAGATAAAAAATATATTCCTCTTATTTTCTATTTTTCATATTTTTCATGTTCTCTATCAAACGGAGCATAAGCGACAAGCAAACGTATGATTGCCTGCCTTTTTCATAGCTTTACCATTTATCGTCACGACACTCAGACACCGGCGGTTTTGCTGTTAAATTTGCCGACTAGTCGCCGCCTGAAAAAGTTCAGCTGCTACGTATGCATGTATATATTCCAGGTATTAACCGACATTTTTCATCATTGTGCTTTGCTTTTGTTAATTAATTAGTATAACTGAAGGATTAAAAATGAATTTCATCCAACTTTGGAACTATAACTAATCAGTCAAATAAATATTGAAATGGGTGCAAAGTGCATTCTAAACTGCTTCTCTTCTTTTATTAAATAGTAGATAACAAGTCTTATATACTTGAGAATTATTCTGGCATAATGTATTTTTAAAATTCATTTTAAAGGTATATATATATATTTTTTTTGAATTAAACATAATCAACTAATATATTAAGTGTATCAATTCATAAATTACAAGTAAGGCTGAGGCAACAAAGAAGCAAATTACAACATAAACCACAGTTTTAATTGCTAAAGAAAAGAACCCCCCCCCCCCCACCAAAAAAAAAAAAATTTAAGACTAAATGGTACAAAATTTATTTTATTTTTTTTTCTATCCAAAAACATCAATTTTTCTGTACAACCTCATGTACTAGACAACTCAATCAAAACATTTTTCAATGTCAAACAATCTCATTAACCTATATTTACCTCTCTTTATTTTAATTTTAAATTATGTAATTTTAAAAGTTAAAATGTATAATATAAAATAAGACAAATTTTAATAAATCTATCCGACAGTGTTAAATAAAATCATCTAACAGTCATTAATATTTTTTTTAAAATTGTACACATTGTATTGCGTATTTTGACACGG